TTCCACAACATGGTTTCCAAGTCTTATGATTAATAATCTTGTTCCATTACACAAGCCACTAGATTGTTCAATATTTCTCAAAAGCATGGCTAAGATGCCTACTTTGAAACTCACTTTATGATTTGGAAACCCTAAAGCAATGAATGTGTTAAGTACCTTGAGGGAATATGTCTATTGATTGGTATTGTAGTCCAAATCATCTTTGCATATGGAATCTGAGCTTAAATAGCTCTTTTTCATTCTTTTAATGTTGGACAACAAGTGATCATTCAACATAGCAACATCCTTAATTGTTAACAATGAGAGTCGGACTACTTCCTCTTCCTTCCTTTTGCTTTGATTGCCTTTTGCTTTGTTTAATGGAAACAATTTGCTTTATATTTTTCCCTTAATCAACCCTAAGGAAAACCCTAAACTTAAAGTCATTTCTTATTCCAAATAGTTTTAATGAATGGCGGGAGCTTTGAAGCAGGTGAGTTTTTGGGGAAATAAAAGGGGCCATGTCAGCAAATCAAGGCCATGTCATCAAAAGAGTAGTCCATATCAATCCATGTCACAAATTTAGGTCTAACATGCACCAAGTCAGCAATGTATTAACGACAAATAAATGGGTTTCACGGTAAACTGATGTTTCACATTATACGTTAGATTTTGGCTAATTTATTTCAATCGAAAAGTAAGTGTGTTAATTTATTTTAATATATAAGTGACGGGGTTCAAATATTGTAGAAAAAAGTTACGGGGTTAATCTCAACAATATCGAAAACTACATGGGTTAAAATACCCTTTTTAGCATTGAACATTTGTATGGCATTCGTGAAGGTAATCTTGTACTAAAAATTATTTTAATAGAAGGTTAAATACCCTTTTTGATCTCTCCACTATTGAAAACCACCCCCTTTTGGCCCCTAAAGTTTTAAATTCAGCCCCTTTTTAGTCCCTCTATTAATTTTTGCTCAAGTGGCACGTTTTCTTAACAGGAACATTTGACGTGGACATTCCACTGTGTAAAGGCGCTGACATGGACTTAATGACACCCCTCCATGTCACTCTCTCTTGCATGGGAAAAGAAAAGAAAAGAAAAGAACCCAATCTCAGACAAAGGGGAAGTTTAAATGATTTTATTTGGTTAAACCCTAAAAATCAGTCATTCCTTTTTCCATTCCTTTTTTGTCTTAAAAATAGTTCAAAATAGAGCATTATGTCTTCTTTTTGTATTGATTTGCCTTACAATCGAGTCTTCTTACTTGTTGTTATGATCGATCGTTGAATGAAAAGAGAAGTTAATCAACAATGGCTGGAGAAATCATAGATATTAACTTGGAAGGGGATTCAGAAGGTAGCGTGAATGAGGTACGCTTTTTGTTTGTGAATCTTATTTTGAGATGTGTGAAGGTTATGCTTAATGGGTGGTGTTGTCTTGTTATTGGTCTGGTGTTTGATGACTATAGTAAGAAAATGGGTAAAGTGGGGTTTTTGGATCTCTGTTTATTGACTTGCTTTTTGAAAAGGGACATTTGGTCCTTGCCTTATGTATTTTTCATGGCTCAGTGTCTTTACTTATATGGAAGCAGTAAGATTCTATAATTCATTGTTGTTTTTAATAGTTTATTGTAGTAAAACTTGGTTGTTGAGTGCACTTATTATGTAAAATATTGAATTTTTTATTTTCCTTATTAAATAGGGTGATTAGGCAACCAAAAAGCATATGATGTTTGTTCATATAGGTGGTAGGTTAATAGAGGATAATGGACTTAAATACGTTGATGGAGAGTGTTGGGACTGGCATGTGGATATAGATAAATTAATTGTGATGGAGTTATTCCAAAAGATTTTAATAGCATGTTATGATCTAGATATGGTAGAGCATATAGGATATTTGGAACCTGGGAAGACACTCAGTAATAGCTTGAAGCAAGTAATAGGTGATGCTTTAATTAGAGAAATCTTGGACATACTGAGGGTTCACAATAAGGTTCACATATATGTAATTTATATCCTAGATTTCCTTTTTATGGTTGAAGCATTTCTTGCTTTACCAGCACTTGGGGATGATGTAAACAAGGTTTAGGAAACTAATAATGTTGGTAAAGGGGTTGAAATTGAGGGTCCTACTAATGGTAAGGGGGTTGATGGTGAGGTTCATGTGGAGGAAGGCCAAAAGGAGAGTATAGTTGAGGATTATTATGAACTTGGACAAGATTTTACTACACAAGTTGTTTTGTTAGAGAAGGAAGATGAAGCTGGTGTCGAGAAGGAATGTGCAAGTGCATCAAAAAGTCATAATGTGGCTGATGACCATAATGATGATTTTAATGGGAACAAAAAGGCAGAAAGTGATGAAAGGCATGATGATCCTATTATGGATATCCTTGAGTTAACAGATACTGAAGATGAGGAGGCTATGGAGGCCATAAGGAAGGTCAAGTGTTTTTGTTATAATTTGCAAGGGGATAATGCAGGATCTAATTCCTATCATGATGGTGGTATGTCATTGTCTTTTCACAGTTATAATTTTTTTTTTTTAATGTTTGGGTTATGTTTTCATATATTGCATGTAAATTCAATTAATTTAGGTGTGAATGCAGTAGGTCTTAGTACCCCTCGTGCAACAATCCATGACAATGGTGATGAAATTCAAAGTGATGCGGAATATAGGTACATTTCTATTGATGAGGATGATGGAAGTGATGCTGATCATGCTTTTAGGAAGAGCGCTACAGATGCAGTTTATGAAGAAGTTGAAGATGCTCTTCCAGATATAAGGTTGGGAATGATTTTGGTGAGCAAGGCACAATTTAAAGCTGTTGTTGATAGATGCAACATGATGCAAATGAGGGATATTAAATGAAAAAAGAATGACAACAAACAAATTAGGGCTATTTGCAAACATGTGCCAAGCCATCATTGGAAAATATTATTATCAAATGATGCGGCGACAGATTCTTGGATGGTGAAGACATATATTCATAAGCATACATGTAGTGAGCACTTGACAAGTCAAAATGCAACTCAACAAGTGCATCAAAGTATTTGGTTAAGAAGATGGGTTTTACTTCTCTTTACTTGAAAGCAGATGACATTTTTCTAATAATTCGAAGAAACGTTGGGTTGGAGTTAACTAGAAAATAATGCAAGAAGGTGAGAGAGAAATTTGCCTATGTATTTGAAGGAAATCATTTGATGGAATATAGTAAATTATGGGACTAGGTTGAGTTGAGGAGAAGAGATCCAACAGCTACAATTCTCATTTAGGCACCAAGGCCGACAGCAGATACAAATTCGATCTTCACGAGAATGTATGTATGTTTCAACGCTATGAGACTTGGTTTGTTGTTGGCTATAGGCATGTAATAAGGGTTGATGAAGTTTTCTTAAAGGGGCATATAAAGGAGTTTTGCTGGTGGCATTTGGACGAGATGCTAACAATCAGATGTACCCATTGGCATGGGCAGTTGTTGAAGTTGATAAGACAAAGACTTGGAGATGGTTTCTGGAAGAATTGTAATTAGATATGCAAATTGGTAGAGAAAATAGATTCACATTTATATTAAACCAACAGAAGATTACTTCTTGCTTTGTTTCTTTGGTTTAACTAAAATTCCAACTTGATCCTTGTACTTTTAAAGTTATGGGACCAAGTTGGGACCTTATGTAATGTACATATATTTTTAATAATATTTTATTTTTATCCATTTGTCTAGCCTTTATACGTTATAATGTGCATGACAGAGGCTAATGAATGCAATTAAACAGCTGTTTCCAGATGCTAAACACATAAAATGTGCAAGACACATATATGCCAACTTCTGAAAGGATAACTGAGGTAAGGAATTGCAGAGGGCATTCTAGGAATGTGCAAAGACAAACCATTGAAGCTGATTTCATGAAGGCATTCGATGAATTGACCAACATTAAATAGAGAGCTAGGGCTATAATCTTAAAAATACACCCACAGTTTTGGTCAAAGGCATTCTTCAAGGAAGACATTAAGTCAGATGTGGTTGACAACAATATGTGTGAAGTTTTTAATGGCTTAATTGCTGAATCAAGGCACAAGCCCATTTTGTCAATGCTTGAAGATCTTAGGATGGTGTGTGGCAGGAGGACTGTTGTTAGAAGGATATTTGCAAAAGAGAAGTTGTTGGTGATTTTGGTTCTAATATATGGGAGAAGATTGTTGCAAGTTGGAAAGGAAGCAAGAGATGTAGGGTGCTATGGCTTGGTGGCACTAGTTATGAGGTTGAAAAAGAAGACAAGGGTAAATTTATTGTTGATATAAACAGGAAGACCTGCACTTGTAGGTGCTGGAACATGACAAGCATACCTTGTAAGCATGCTGTTAGTGTCATGAAATTGAGGAAAGAAAAGGATGAAGGCTATGTCAACCACTGGTATAGCAAGCATATGTTCTTAGCAAGTTATGAATATGAAGTTCCTTGTATTGAGGGGATGACACAATGAAAAGACACTAAAATGCCCCCAATTCAACCACCATTACCTAGGAAAAGGCCAAGCTGACCCAAAAAAAAAAAAAAAGGTGTTAGAAGAATGGGAAGGGCAGATATCACTCTCTAAAAAAGGAAGGGTGATGGCTTGCCAAAAATGCTTCAAAACAAGGCACAATTCAAGTTCTTGTAAAGGACAGCCTCCTAACACTGTAAGTGCTAACATCATAACTTAACAATTCTATTAAGGGCTTTTATATACGTAAAATGTTACAAATTATGTTTGTATTTATTTATTTATTTTTTGGACAAATTGGTTTTACTGTTATTTAGGAAGTTGGAAACAATGAAGCTTCTGAAGCCACTAAGAACTTGAATGATAACAACCCAGTGAGCTAAGTTGATGATCCTGTAAGTCAAGTGATTAATGAAGAAAGAGGACTTGTCCAGGAGCAAAGAACCAAAGAGAAGAGGAAAAGAGAAAAGAAAAAGTCAAATAAAGGGCTTACTATGGTGAAGGCTGTTTATTTTAAATTTCTGTTTTCTTTTATTATTGTTTATTTTAGAATACTAAAAATCCTCAACACAGTAAGAAAAAAGTTCCCAAATAGCAAAGAGCAAGAAGAGGCCAAAGAATGGATCAACCTCATCAACTACAACTCTTATTGCCCCCACACAAGCAGCATTCCCAAGTGCAGAACCTCAATACAATCTAGCTGTTGCATCTAGTCCACCACAAGAACAAAACAAGAGAGGTGAGGCCAAGAGAAAGAAATCTAGTAGTCAATTGTCTGTAATGGCCAAAGATAGACAAGGGAAAGGTGGATAGTCAGGTGCTAGGGAGTGCAGGTGTTGATCGTTGTGTTTTTGTCATTTGAAGTTGACTGATGCATTAGAAATGAAGCTCTTTTTAATGAATCTTTTTTTTTTTTTTTTTTTTTTTTTTTTTTTTTTTGTCATCTAACCTATAATTACATGTAAACTTAGGCAACTTCACGAGAATTCTTGTTTTGTATATGGTGTATATGTTGTTGTGCATATGATGGCTTCATAGGACAGCTTGTATGTATATTGGTACAACTTTGATATCCAGATTGATGTTAGTGGTGCAAATATTTTGGAATCAAGAATTGTTCTTGACTGAAAAGTCTTGTGTTTTCGTTAAGAAAGACATTTTGCTGTGTATTTGCTAGTATGAAATTAAACTTGTACAGTGCATATAAAATTAATAAACCATGTGCCATTTATAGGGAACAAATTAGATTCCTTTTACATAAAAAGGCAGATAATGCACAAAAGGCACTAGTCTCCCATCCTGTCATTTTCCCAGCAATGTTAATGCAATCTATGCAACTCAATAAACATGGAAACAAAAAGACAGATAATACAAACCACACAAAATATTTAACAACTTATAAGTGCTCTGACACATATCTTCTCACTTCTCTTCACTTTCTTCTCCAAGACTTTGATATTCTTAATGAGTGCCTCACATTGGACCTTAAAGTCATTGTTTTCTTGTAGAAATTTCTCATTTTTGGACATCAAGTCTGCATTTTCTTGTAACAATTTCCCCTTTTCAACTGTAAGATTTTTGTTTTCTTCCTTCTAACTTTGAATCTCTTTCTCAAGTCTAATTTGCTTATCTTTAAGTCGCAGTAAGAGATCCTTAGCTCTTCCCTCAATCACCTTACCACCATTAAGAAAGTGGAAGAAATTGCATGCATTCCTAGCCTTCTCAGGTTTCCCAACCTAAATAGCATGAAATTAGTAGTTTAGGGTTTTTTTAAAAATTTTCATTTTAAACATGAACACTCACCTCAAATTTAGGACATCACCAAAATCTTCTTCCCATGTTTTGGTAAGTCAAGGATGTTTTCAAAACAACATCCAAACCACACCTACAAACATATTTTTTTCTAAGAAAGCCGCTAGTTGATGCAAAATCAAGGAATGAGTTGCTTCGTGAAAGCCCACCCTCCATTAGGACAATATCTTGACCAATCTCACATGTAAATGGTTGATTATGAATGAAAAACAAGAATTTCAAAAGAAGGAAGATGATTTCTGGACAGGGAATTGAAAAAAAAATTGGAGAATTTAGGGTTATGTCCGGTAGGGTTCAAGGACAATTGACTTATATTTATGGCATATTTCAGTATGTGAGTCACATCGATTATGGTTTTTTTTTTTTCCCGAGCAAGGGAGAGTGACATGGACGAGTGTCATTAACTCCACGCCAGCACCTTTACACCATGGAATGTTCATGTTGGATGTCCCCATTAAGATAATGTGCCACACGAGCAAAAATTAATGAAAGAACTAAAAATTGGTTAGATTTGAAACTTTATGGACCCAAAAGGGAACTTTTTTCAATACAGGGACCAAAAAGAGGCTTTTTTCAATAATAGAGGGACCAAAAAAGGTATTTAACATTAATAGAATAATAATGGGTATATTTTTTATTTAATATATTTATTAAAAAATTATTGTTTTTAATCTAAAATTAAAAAATTAATTTAAAAATATAATTATACATATATTATGTAAAACTAATTAAATATATTATATTTATATTATATTTTAACAATATAATTATATAAATATTAAAAAATATAATAAACTAAGAATATACTAATTATTTTTCTTTTTAATATGTCAATAATTAATCAACATATTATATAGAATGCATTATTTTATTATTTAAATTGCAAAACACTTTCTTTATGACATATTGTACAAACAAAACTAGCAAATTATTATCTTGAAATTCCATTTGGTTCTATAGTTAGTGGTAGCAGTGCCATAGACCTGCAGAAGGTAGCACTTGCCTCTAATTCAGTCTATAAATGGATGTTGTGCTTAGCTTAAATATACTTTAAAAAACACGTATTTTAATCCAAATTAAATTGAAATACTATTAAAAAAAACTAAAGAAACAAAACTACTATATCTTTTTTTATCAATGCTATTTTACGCTACACTATATTATAACGGTATGATTTTTTTGTCTTCTATTATCTTAAAAAATATAAAATATTAATTAAAATTAAAAATTATATTAAGAAATTAATTAAAAATTAAAAATTAATTTTAAAAAAACAATCGTATTCTAAGACAAATTTAAAAGAAAAAAAATTCATCTTCACATTAAAAATAATAGTATACTTAATTATAATAATTAAATATATAAAATATAATATAAAATCTAATTTTATTAAATTTATTATATAATTACTATTAAATGTTTTAATATTTTTAATAATAAAATATTCTGATTTTTTTTCTCAATTAAAAATTTAATGAATCAGAAATACCTAAGATGAGTACAAGAACAATCCGTTTTGACTCAATAAACTTTGAGTTAGGTTATTCACCTTTAATAAATTATACATTCGAGCTCCATGAAATTATTTTCTTCTCTCCTTCAATTAATTCTATAAATAATTATAAATTGTTATAATAATAAAAAAAATAAAAAAAAAATAAAAAGAAAAGAAAGACGGGTACAAGAATATTCTGAGTGATAAGTGATTAGTCAGCCAGGGTTACCAGAGATGGTCCCAGCTGTGTTCTGTCGCTTCGTTCATAGGAATGTTAGCATTTTCATATCAGAAAAGCTTTTTACCGTCTATCTTCACTTAACAACGTCAATTTCAACTTTATAAAAAAATCAGAAACATATGAAGATTCCTTTGTGATCTTTTTATTTTTTTAATTTTGTTGTAAGTGATATAGTTGATAATTGGTAATATAAAAAATTATTGTGTATTTTATATTTAATTATATAAAAATTTAAATCAGATTTTTGAGTTTAGTAATTCATCATTAAATTTTAATATTTAGTTTGAAATAATCGACAATTTCACTCATACCAATCAGTTGAAGATATACCCCCATGTTTTTAATTCAATTATGTTTTAAAAAAAAAATTATATAAGAAATTTTTTAATTTGTATGTCTAGAGTATATATTAGATTTTATTAATTATATTATTTATAATTAAATTTATATAAAATTTAAGTAAAATAAAATGTAAAAATATAATATAATATTTATACTCAAATTTAATATAAAAATATATACAAAATTAAGAATTAAGATATTTCACATAAGAGTCTCTCCATCTAGACTATATTTATTTTACGAAGAAGTCTTTAGTCACTTTATAAGAACATTCTTATATAAGTTGAGATGTGAGATTTTGAGTCTCGTTTTTGTATTAAAGGAAAATATATATACATATTTATTTTACAGATTCAAAGCATTAAACAAAAGTCTCCGAAATAAAATGGTCTGTTTCAGTTCAATGATATTAAATTTTGAGTTAAAATTATTTACTTCGAATAAGTGATAGGTTTGAAACCCACAAAATCTCTTTTCCGCTCAAGCCGGTAAATAATTACAAATTATTAAACAAAAAAAAAAAAAAAAAAACAAAAGCCTCCAAAATAATTGCAGCGCAGGGTTCATACATGGCTACTGTCTGTCTCTGAACTTGAAACTCAGTGCTCCGCCACAATGGAAAATGGAAATGGATTCAAGAGATGGGGTTTTCAAAAGAAGCAGCAGGATGTGACAAAGGCAGCTATCTTAACTCCCCGCTTGGCTTCTTATATGCTAATGGATAATCTGAACCGGGATGACCCCAGGCCCGTTGTTTCTCTCGGCAATGGCGATCCTACGCTTTTCCAGTGCTTTAGGACCGCCGCTGCGGCTGAAGATGCCGTCCTCGACGCCTTTCGCTCCGCAAACTATCACTCTTATTCTCCGCCCCTCGGTATTCTTCCTGCAAGGAGGTAATTAATTAATTTATTGCCAAAATCAAAATATTACTCCCTCTCCTCATTTATCAGTGCATCTATTCACATAATTTAGCTGATACTCTTAGCTAGTATATGAATGATAATTGAAATTTTATTTTTTCCATTAAGTAGGACTTGTTCAGTAGTTTAAAATTTTTTCGATGTCATTCTTAGCTAAAGTTACATGTGCAAAAGTCAAAGCGGAAACATAAATAGGAAGGGAGATAGCAGCTCTTTGCAAGCACTGTAATAGGTGCTCTACTAGATAGCCTCCACTGTTGGCAATCCATCTTCATCAACTTAAGATTCAAATTTGAAATCTCTTGAGTTAAGAGTCTTAAGTTCTTAATCAATTGATGCACTGTCGGGGTGAAAATGTATTTGTTTATGGTTGTTTATGGTCAGTGCTTCAGAATGTTCTAATTGAATTTGTTTGAGTTTAACAGGGCTATTGCAGACCATCTTAATCGAGACCTTCCATACAAGTTATCACCTGATGATGTTTATGTCACAATTGGATGTGCCCAAGCAATCACCGTTACTTTGGAAGCCATAGCCTCTCCCACTGCCAATATTTTGCTTCCTAGACCAGGCTACCTTGGATATGAGGCTTTTGCTGCTCATAGACAAATTGAAGTTCGACATTATGAACTTCTACCCGAAAAGGGTTGGGACGTCGATCTTGATGCTGTTCAAGTGCTTGCAGATGAGAATACTGTGGCCATTGTTATCATAAATCCAGGCAGCCCATGCGGAAATGTATTCAGTTATGAACATTTAAAAAAGGTCAGTTAGATTTTCAAAAATGCTTGTGCTGATGGATTTGGTTTTGATGGCTATTGGGTTTCAGTATATTCATATCCCCCTCAGGGTTTGTTTGGTAAGAGATCAACTTTGTTGGAAAAGTGGTTGGAAAATTATCATATGGAATGTTGAAAAGTGCCATATAAGTTTTATAATGAAGTTTTGTTAGAATTTTGTTGAGTTGCTAACCTTTTTGAATTTGGTAAGAAATTAAAGTAAAGAAAGTTGGTAGGAAAATTTGTTAAGTGGATTCAATATAGGGAAAATTGGAGGAAACTTTTTCCTTTAAAAAGCATGCGAGAAGAGAAGTTTACCAGTTTGAAATTGTGTTAGGAAAAATAGAGGTTAAAAATACCGCTTTTACTCTACTTTTGTTGTAGTATTAAAGTCCGAATATATATAAAACGGGAAAAGTTAAGGGGGGAAAGTTTCCCCCCGACCAAACACACTGTTATGGTCTAATATGATTTGTTTCTTCTTTTCTGAATGTCAGATTGCAGAGACAGCAAGGGAGCTGGGGATTCTGGTGATTGCAGATGAAGTTTATGGCCATATTTCATTTGGGAGTACAACATTTGTTCCAATGGGAGTGTTTGCGTCCATTGTGCCAGTTCTCACCCTTGGATCTTTGTCAAAGAGATGGACTGTTCCTGGTTGGCGACTTGGGTGGATTGCCAAAAATGATCCTAATGGAATCCTCAAAGAAACTGGGGTTGGCTTTCTCTCACTCTCTCTCTTTCTCTAACTCAAAGACATGATCTCCTTATTAGTTTTTCAGACTTATAATATATATTGACTCAGTGATATCAATGTTATTATTGTTTCTGATCAGATTGTTGACTCAATTACAACAGTCCTCAATGTCTCCTGTGAACCAGTGACATTCATTCAGGTTAGTGAATTGTGATTCAAGATAATTTTTTGCATAACATATATACAGTGAACAAATGCAATGGTGTCTCAGGGCCAGCAAAATGTACCGGTGCTGCTACCTTATGTTGGTCTTTGCATTATCCAGCAATGTAGTTGATAATTTCAAATTGAGTGATTTAAAGAAACCCTCAATTTTCTCAATCTGCTGCTTTGATGTGCTAGTATATTGTGACATATGATTATATGAAGACTCTCACCCATTTCCCCTGACTTTTAATCTGTTGTCTTATGTCTTATAGATGCATTAGAGAACTTCTCAATATGACCATCTTATAGCAAATTACATATTACATGGTTCGGCAAACATATCTTGTGCAGCTCTTTAAAGAGCTAGGTCTCTAAATTTTCACTTGGATAATGCTGTTTGTCCCTAGTTTTGCAGGAGTTTGTCTTGCTTTTTTTCTTCTTGAAAGTGTATGAATTTGTTTATACAACAGGGAGCAATTCCCCAAATCATTGAGAATACAAAGGAGGATTTCTTTATGAATATCATTGGCATACTAAGGGAGGATGCAGACATATGCTACAATGGAATTAAGGAGATACCTTGCATGAGTTGCCCAAGCAAACCAGAGGGAGGCATGTTTTCAATGGTAAGGGAATTAAACAAATGTACATGCATGTTTTGTGTTAAAGTAAATAAAATTTTCTTGGTTATCAACTTCTGTTACAGGTGAAGCTAGATCCATCAATGTTGGAAGGCATCAATGACGATTTGGAGTTCTGCATAAAGCTAGCTAGAGAGGAATCAGTCGTTGTTATACCAGGTAACAGATCAAAATTCTAAATCCAGACACTGATCTCCGAGAAACTAATGTACTGTAAACTAATAACCAGAACAAAAATCTTGCAGGGGTAGCTGTGGGAATGAAGGATTGGCTTCGTGTTAACTTTGCATGCGAGCCAGCTTCCCTCCAAGTTGGCCTTGAGAGGATGAAAGCTTTCTGCCGAAGGCATGCCAAGAATAAAAATGAAGATCCATCTGAAGTTATTCAAACCGGTAATTGTTCCAATACTGCTGGTTGTCCTGAAACTTAAAATCGAATGATTCGGGAATAAGAACCTCTGCTGGTCATGTGCACATGTAATATAAAGTCAACCAGCTTCAGAGCAAGTAGTATGTTACCTGCTGCTGCCCTTGTGGTCAGCAATGAGGTTCATGATTTATGGAACTAGGTATTAAGCAAAATAGTAGAGATGAAATTAATTGCTTCAAAAGAAAAAAACAATGGATTGTAACATAAAATTTGAACATGACGGCTTATGTTGCAAGCTATTAGTGGGAATGTATTAGTAAACTACAGTTCAAAAATACCTTAGAATTACAATGTGTTTGGATTGAGAGATTTAAAGGAAAATGGGAGAAAAATGAGGGGAAGATGTCTCTCTTGTCTTATTTGGATTTTTTTATTAATGGAGGGAGAGGGAAATGGAAGGGTGATGGAACTCTCTTCACTCTTCTATTTTCCATTCTCCCAAATCAAAGAGATCCTAAGGAATTTAATTTACACATTTAACTTTCTTTAATTTTTTTTAAATAAATATATAAAAATATTTTATATATTTATTTTTGGATTAATATATTTTAAAATTTTTATTTTATTTTATTTTTTTAAGATTATTTAATTAAATAAAAATGTTATCCTTCTCACTCTTCTATTCTTGTCTATTCGAATAATGTTAAATACATCAATCTTTTCCTTTCTTTCACTACTCCTCTTTTCCTTTTCCCTTCTCTCTCTTGTCTTTTTCTTTTTTACTAATTTTTATCTAGACAGATGTGTTTAAAGTTTATAATGAATTTAACTCAAACCAAAGAGAAAATCAAGCATATTTTCTTAGTTTGAATTCAATTCTTTTCTTAAAAAACAGAACTCAAATTGGATTCAGTAGACAATAATTGAAATCGACTTCAAACTTGAGTAAATTTTGTATTATAAATAAGTTGAGCTCCAAATTGGTCTCAAAATTATCATTTACGTAAAGGAAATGTTAGTTGCACTCGGGCCATGATTGGCCTAAGTGGAATCTTCCCCTTAAAAAATTCAACAAGCAAAATAAAAAGGGCAGGACCAATGAGCACTTGAGTGCTTGTGCTCTTAGTGGCTTGTCGTATGCACATATACATAGTACTCCTTTTACATAAACAAAAATTGTACACCAGCCTCTTTTTCTTTTACCAAGAATAAATAAGCAATATCTTTCACACCAAATATAATGAATTCCAAACTTGACAGTATTGTTCAACAATTCTAATAAGTTCAAATTTAGTAGGATATTATTTACCAAGTTGATGGAGTTGATAAACCCATAGTATTATTTTATATCTTATAATAATATTTCACAATATTTATGTTATTAAACAATTTGATATACATTTTAATGGACCCATATTATTATTGAATAAAAAGTCCTTAGTGATCTTATAGGTATAGCTTTCATATTGGATATATTAGCGTATTCAAGAAAATTAATTTGTTTGATTATTGTTTTCAAAATTTGACTCCTAACTTAGTTTACAAAGATGACACTTACTTCTCAATGTATCCAATCCTTGAAATTAGAAAATTATAATTATTCTTTTTTAATCAATCTATAATGTTGAGCTCAAATTTGGTTTAAACCTCAATTAAGATAAACTTGATTAAATTAGAACAAGTTTGAAATGAATATTTTGAATCTCAGTGTGTCAAGGGCTTTGAGGTTGATGGAGATCATGAGATTTGGCGATGATGAATGTGTTGGTGAAGTTGAAGATGTTGAGTAAGGCTGGGGCAGGCTAAGTCGAGGTGCCAACAAGATTTCCTTTCTCTCATTGTTGCTGATTGTTTCTATTAAAATTAACAATAATTTTTAATAGAATGTTTTGAAGTTTCAATTTAGTGGCATATACATCCCATATTAATAAGAAGTAAAATTAAATTTGTCTTTAAATATGAAGGTTAGAGAATGATTGATTGCTTAAGAGATATTAATATTATCAATTGTAGTATTAGAGTAATTTTTAAATATATATTTATTATAATTACTTTGATACTACTATTACGTATATTAAATGTATTTTTTTAATTTAATTATGTAACTTTTAAGTATATTAATTTAACCTCTCTTTTTTTTAAAAAAAAAAAAATTTCCATCGCTATTAACATTTTTGAACTTTCAGTTTGAGTTTAAATATGTTCAACTAGAAAATTTGTAACTTTGTCATTTTTTTAACATAAATAATGTATATAACATGGCGTGAGGGTTAGTTATCTCTTCACTGCCATAATTGAAACCTTGTAACATTTAGGGCCTATTTGGTTGGGTAAGATTCCTGAGATTGTGCTCAGATTGTTGCAAGTCGGATTATGTTGTTTGTGTTTGGTATCCAAATAGTCTTGGAAAGTTATTTTATCCTTGAAACTTTCTCTACCTGTGTCCCAAAAACATTTTTTTGGATGAAAAACCCTAGAAAAAAGGAAAATACCTAAGTGGGTGGTTGGATGAGGGGCAATAAAATGCCAAGACTGCCCTTTGAATCCATTGTATAAAGGACTTAAAATGACAAAAATGGTGCCACAACATTCCTAGGAAAGTTTGATAATTGATTAACTTTTTGTTATGATGCCTTACTTTGTTATTGATAATTAACTATTTAGTATTTATAATCAACTATAACAACCCATTACAAATACAAAAATAACTTAATTTTCTATTATAATTGATTATAACTGGAAGATAACCAATTACTCACCAAATATATCTGTTTACATCATTAATAACACTCAATTTTAGTTGCCACATCAATAAGATTTTACAGCTAGTCTGGAATTAGTTTCCCTATAGTCCATATCACAGTTACTACGTAGACCAATGCCATGTGTCCGATTAGAGCTCTATGATTGGTTTGAGATGTGCCACATCACCAAGTTGCAGTTGATTTAGAGCCTGATCTGGTGTAGTTTGCAACCTAGACGAAGGTGAGGTCCCTTGTGGCAAGATAAGATGCATATCTCTTCCTTTAGTCAAATTTATTTTAATTAGGTGACTAAGAGAGATTTTAGAAGGAGATCATGCTAGATTTAATTAGAGTTATTGAAGGGGTCAAACACAACTAGTAGACTTGGGGTAAAAATAAGAAAGTATTATAGCCAAATGTGGAAGTAGCCAAATGTGCATAGAAAGTGGTGGGAAGTGGCGCAAAAAACATGGGAAACACCTCTGGCAACAAAGTAAAAGCATCTCCTTCGACAAAAAACAGTTTTTCAAGCTTGTTCCTCTCAGAAAAATACCTAGTGCATTGCAATTTCAATTCTAGATTAGTTTCAATTCCAAATTTGATCAACCAACCTTTAGCATAAATTTTTAGATTGTGATTAAAAAGCCTATTCTTGTTTGTAGTTTTACTTTGAATCTTCTATTTTGTTGAAAGTCTACCCAATGCAAGAATTTCTAGGACCAAGCAAATCTGCAACATGTTTTCTTGATCGAAGCTTTGAGACCAAATCTTACTTTGTTTCTTGGTTAGTTTTTGTTGTTTTATTCTAGTTCACTTGGTTTCTAGTATTAAAGACCTATTCTCATATTTTTATTGTAATCGTTGTATGGTCTTGGCCTTCTTAGGTTCTTCTCATGAACTTAGTTTGTAAATTCATCAATATTAAATTCTAGATTTGATATTGTAGTTGATTTGAATTTTACAATTGTTTTTAAGTTATCTTAATGAAATCATATTTCTTTATATTTCAAAATTCCTATTTACTATCATCTCTTCTTTTTGTTTCTATTGTCTAATCTACAAGTAGAATAATCTCATCTATGATGTAGCTTTTCTTGTATGTTTGTGAATTTATTTTCAATCTGCATGTATAGTTCACTAGGTTGGATAATTTTTAGTTAATGTATAGATTTGTCATCCCTTTAGTCCAATTTGTGTTCTAAGTATGTTTCATAGCACTTTTTGGCTTTCATCTATTTTTTAGTTGTTATGCCTTTAGTTTCCTTTTAGTTGTCTATGTTTTAGTTGTTTTATTTTTTTTCCTTACCTACAAACATACTTATTTAACCCCTGATATGGGACGTCCTTGATGATTTTTTAGGGTATTATTTTTAACCCATTTACGCAGAAAAGGATCCCTCTTTCTTGCCAATTGTTTAGTTTGGGGTGCATCTTTTTATTAAATTGATGTTCTATCAACCATCCAACTTGGGGGGTCAACCACTTAGAAGAAGAGGTTCATCAAAGAAGTCCTTTTTCTTGCTTTTGCTATAAAGAAAGTGGCATGCCTAAGCACATCTACTACACAACTACCAAAGGGAGGATTTTTGGGGAAATAGTATCAAATGAATGTTAAAAGCAATTATAATTCACAATTACTAACTAATCGAATATTGAAGATTATAACCAATTATATCTCCTCTATCATATAATTGATTATGTGACAATTTTTACTTCGAACATTCTGTAGTATTTTTTTCCCAACCAAACATATGATTTTAAGAATATTAGATAAATTTTACAAGCCACCAAACATAAACAAGTTACTTTCCTAGGTATAAACAGTCGGTCAAAATGTTTTGGTTAAGTTTTTTTATTGACTAAAATTTGCATAGGCAACCAAATGGGCCCTTAAGATATAAAAATCTAAATACGTTTGCAAGAGTTTAAAATTTTTAGGATTTGGTATTTAAGATATTAGGCTTTAGATGTTTTAAGATTTAATATTTAGATTGCTCCATGGGATTTAGTATCTTTTTTTGCAAAACCCTAAAATATTTTAAATACTAAACTTTAAAAAATCTAAATCCTAATACCATAAATATTGAACCCTAAAAATTTTAAACTCTAACAACATGAATTTAAATTGATTTTAATCTAAACAAATTAAGATGATAAAAATGAGTTTAAATGGTTAAAAGTATGAACTAAATAATAAATTTTCCTTTAAAAAAGAAAAAGAATTTATTGGTGCAACAGCCTGGTCAGCTGGCTACTGGGTCTATCCCCATAGCATTTTTCATTTATATATGGTTGTTCGATTCTAGGGGTATGGTTATTATCATCATAAAAAATAGTTAAAATTCTTAAAATTTTAATTATTTTTAAATAATATTTAAAAATATTAATTTATTATTTAATTTTGATTTATCAACTAATAAATATGAGTTATAATTAAAAATTATAATTATTAACTATTTTTTAATCAACTATATTGAATAAAATCTATATTTTTAATGATAATATTTTATAATGTTGATACCCATAACATTTTTAATAATAATCATAACCATGACCCAATTCTAATGCTTTACTCTTAACTAGTTTTTGTGCGCTAGCTGTGGCTTAAAAATTGAATAAAGTTCTATATTTTTATCAAATTTGTAATTGAAATCTCAAAGTTCTACTGCACTCAAATAAGATTTTGAAGAGATTAAAATTCTCAAATAAGGTTCTAATTAGATGAAAACCATTAGATCTATTAAATTAGTCATTAACGGCATTAATTCTAATTGCTTAAATGTCCAAAATGATAGCTAGCTTTTCTATCTTATATTTTAATAACCTCAAAATACTATTTAAGTTTATTTGTTTGTAGATGTAGTGGGACCCATAATTAAAAATTAATTTTTAATTTTAGGTGACATTTATGTGATCTATTATAAAAAAATTACATTATTATTTTTGGAACTATAACAAACAAGATATATTAGTTGGTTAAATTCAAAAGGAACCAAATAAAAAGGAAGATCGAGAAAGATGATAAGGGGTATTATTGAGATTTCACAAATCCATCATCATTTTTATAATAAAAAAGATTAGGTTATTTAAGTAATAAACTAAAAATTAATTTTTACTTAATGATTAATTAATGTTTAATGAAATTATTTAATAGTTAATTAGTATATTATTTAAGTTAATTAAAATTAATTTTTAGTTGTGGATCCTAAAAATTGTTACATCAATAAAGAAAATAAGTTTAAGGAGTTTAAGCTGTTTGAAAGTTTTTAGTATTATTGAAAGATAAAACATGAAATCTAGAGACCATTTTAAATATTTACCTAATTAGAGTTAAAGGTGTTAATGAATAATTTCCAATTAAGTCCTTATTTGAGAATTTCAAAGACTTAAGGACCGATAATTTAAGTGTAATAAAATTTTAA